TATATATTATATGCTATAGATATTTATATCAATATAGCTGCCTCTCTAAGAAGGCGTTTGTGAATCCAGTTCTCTTTCACGTCTTAAGTGCGTGTGTAATCGACCATTCAAGCGCAATTTGTCAAAATGGCCATCATGTGGAGTATTCTAATTCGTGTAAACAGTTATGTCTCAAATGAAAGTAAACAGTTGGGTGTAAACCGGAGGTGTATCAATATAATGGATCTGCGCATTTGGTCATTAAATGATTAGTTCACATTAAAATGAAAATTAGCCCATGATTTACTCACCCTTATGCCATCCTAGGTGTATGACTTTCTTCTTTCAGACGAATACAATCGGAGTTATATTAAAAAATATCCTGTCTCTTCCAAGTTTTATAATGGCAGTGGATTGCAACCAACAGATTGAAGCTCAAAAAAGTGCATCCATCCGTCGTAAACAAACTCCAAACTGCTCCGTTGGGTTAATAAAGGCCTTCTAAAGCAAAACGATGAGTTTGTGTAAGAAAAATATTCATTTTTAGCACGTTACAAAGTACAATTCTAGCTTCAGGCCAAACGGCCAATTTATGAGGTCGGAAGTAGCGTAGTGCGTCATGGCGTAGCGTAAATATCAGCGGTACGTCGCATTACTCGCATAAGTTGTGCTTTACATTTAAGCGGAATCCGTATGTTCGTTTGGCCAGAGGCTAGTTATTTTACTTTGTGTAAGTAAAATATTAATATTTAAAACTATAAACTCATCGTTTTGCTTTAGAAGGCCTTTTACTAACCCACTCGTTTACGATGGATGGATGCATGTTTTTGAGCTTCAATCTGTTGGTTGCAATCCACTGCCATTATAAAACTTGGAAGAGACAGGATATTTAATATAACTCCGATTGTATTCGTCTGAAAGAAGAAAGTCATATACAACTAGGATGGTTTGAGGCGGGTGAGTAAATCATGGGTTAATTAATTTTCATTTGAAATTGAACTACGCCTTTAATGTGAATCAAACAAAAGAGAAAATAACTTGCTGCTCTTACTGAATAACATTTTTTTTAGCTTCATTGAGAATACATTTATATTTAATTCATACAATGAAGACTATGCAATATTTTATTTTTTACATTTGATTATTACATTTCTGTACTAATTCTAACTACATGTTAAATAAACCTATTGTACCTGAAAAACTTAATTTGTTCCAATTAATATTTTTGTTCTATTGTATTTGTCCTATTGTTTGTAACGTGCTTCTTTTTTCTTATTTATAATAACAGAAATGAGCAACAAAAAACCCCACACAAAATAACTATATCGTGATATATATATATATATATATATATATATATATATATATATATATATATATATATATATATATATATATATATATATTTATCGTGAAACAAAATTACTCATACGGTGAAATAAGAATTTGGTCATATCACCCACCCCTAACAGAAATCCAGAACGAATATATGTCAGACGTGTCTCTTCCTCTGCCTAAAGAGGTAATAACGCAATGCATATTTCATGCATGTGTGCCTTGCTTTTAAAACAGAGCATACTATCAGCTGAATGTGGTCAACTATTCAACCACCCCTGCCATTAGAGAACAGTGTTATTCTTAAAGCAATAAAAAAAGACATCATGCAAAGTGAGGAACATTTCAGACCATCAATCTAATCAATGCATGAAATGAATCCCTCTGGACTATTAAAACAGTTAAGTGAGTCCATGCATGTAATGCATATGCTGACAGATCCCCCTTTTCTTTTCTTGAACATCTGCATGAGTGTCACTACTCACTTAAACTATTTCATTAATATTTGCTCATAATAACATGCTAAGACCACATCAGAAATAAGTTCATACTTAACTGGATTGAGATTTTAGACTATTTAAGATGTTATTAAGGCTGATTTTAATCGACTAAAGCATACAACTTTTTGAAGGCTAATAGTCTGTTTAGCCAGCTAGCGAGTGTCAAATATGCTTTAGCTAGCTGGCTAATTAGTTTCCAGACTGTAGCCAAGAGGAAAAAAAGTTGTTATGGGTAGAATAAATAAATACATAAAAGGGAAAAGTACACGCTATGACTGAAATAGGGTAGTACACACCATATTTGCATGAGATAACGCCTAACTTAGTTCCTATATATTAATGGATGAAGAGAGTAAAAGTGAGCTAACGTTAAGTGAGCAGTGTAGCAAAACTTCCTGCTGCTTTGCGATGCCACTAGAAATAGCCTACATGGTTTAGTGTACTAAAACACACATTTAATTCAAAAATACCGATGTCAGATATCAGCGAAAGATGCCCTTAATATTTTAACTTAAAAGTTAGTGCCATAAATCGAAGTAGTAATCATCACTGCAGCATCTCTAATTTTTCGTATAGGCAAAGACACATTTTACAAGCACTTTTTCAAACATTCATAGCCGAGGCGTGTAAAAATACAAGCTGTTCTTTAAAGAATTACACAGTCACTTTAGATCATCTTAAGACATGCAAAAGCTGGAAAAATAAATAAAGTTTTATCCACCCTAGTTCAACACTGACACACTAAGCTACGCCCTTACGCAAGTCCCTAAAAGATCACACTGAAACTTTTTCTCTCCTAAAGCAAATGGCTGAAAACAACTTTAAATAGCTGCGACCAGACAACAGGGTGTGATCGGTTTTCGCCCTAAAGCGCAAATATAAAGCTCAACGGATCTGAAAGGCGTGTGAAACCAGCTGGAAAGTGATTTGGAGAGTCTTATATTTGTGTAGAAAGGGAGGTTACCTGAGTCAGGGAGAGACTGGCAGCCATAGTGTTTCAGTTCCCACTAGTTCATCCTGCGTTTCGATAGGCAATGGGCAATATAGGGATGCTACAAAACCTGGTGCTGGATTGCTCTGTGGATCGAGGCTAAATAAAACCCGGCGCTGGATTATTCACTGGATCTGTAGTCGATGGGTCACGGTTGATGGCTCCTCCAAGTTCTCTGGTCACTGGTGCTCACTGTACAGCCAAATGATGTCCAGCTCCACCTCTGTGGGTCTAATGGGTGGAGGGATATGGTTAGGGTGTGGTTGGACCTTCTAGCTATACCTATTATGCCCAAATTACACCCAGAGAGGGGGAGCTGGACTTCATGCTCCACCCATGCCTCTGCATTGCAAAACCACCAGACACTGGACTGGAGTCCTCGGTGGATCAGAGCACCAAAACCTGGTGCGGGACTTCTCAGTGGATGAGGAGGCGATATAAGCTAATACGAGCTGTTCAGTTTGTAGTGCTAAAAGATCTCAACCTCAAGATTTTCATAATGGAGTTTTTGTGAGTAAAATAAAATAAAGTCTGTGGTTAACTTGTAGAGACTTGTGCTGTTGAATTTTAAAACATGCATTAAATAAACATTTTTTATTATGTCCATTTCTTTTTCCATTTTTATTTAACTACATTTTAAAACATACATTAAATAGTTTTAAATTTGTCTGCTAATTTGTGAATTTAAAAGTGATTTATTTACATTTTAATGTTTGAATTATTAAATTGATAACATATTCCTCCACTCATAGTCCTCCATACTTGACGAATCACACAACAGATTCAATATTCATGAAGCATGAACGTAATGTACAAAACATAGAAGTACTTTTAACCACAGACATTATTTTACTTATAAACCTCCAACCGATATTCTAAAAAGTGAATGTATTTTATTAAATGTAATACACTTCATTATTTTACAAATAAGTGAAAAAAAAAAAAAATTTGGAAACCCCTGAAATGGAGTTGCCACTTTAGTGAAAATAGTGCTGAAGAAATGGAATTTATTTAATGTTCTCAACTAGTCAAGAAGACACTTGAGTATGTTACTCTTTTTGTAGTTTTATTATTGGACAACAACTGTCATACCAGAGCTTTTCTTCTCAATATGTCAAGGTACATCCTTCAAACACAAAAAGTACAAAATATATCTTTAAAAAAAAGGTCACAATCCATTTTGCTGGGAGAAGTATGATTGAAGCAGTACAGCAGTGCAATATTCACAATGGCTGTGAAATCTGTTGGAGAAGTGTTTCTAGAATAATAGAAGACTTACCTTGCAACACCCTTGAAATCTTACACACTTTTTAATTTTCCTTACTCCGCAGGTTCAGCCAGGCCCTTATTACCACATTTGCTCAAATAAATCATTCAGCAACTCAGTTGAACCCAAGCAAACAATTGACAGCAACTGAGAGAAACCATTGTTAACCTTGATTCGCTTTCGCCATACTTTCGGCCAAACATGTATAATTCGGTATAAAAGTTTGCTTGCTGACCAGGGCCAGATCAAAACCATATCAGCTTTGTGAGATCCACTGTGTGTTCAGGAAAGTATACAACCAAGAACCTGATCTCTAATAGATTGATATTGAGAGCAAGTACATGGTTATGAATTTGAGGTTTGGGTTAAGATGAAACATGCAATAAAGTGAGGACTCTCTCCCAAACCCAAAACACACACACACACACACACACACACACACACACACACACACACACACACACACACACGCGCGCGCGCGTAAAAATGTGTCAAGCCAAAATGCTGTAGATGAGAAACAACTTGCCATATTCTTTAACAGAAGTGAAATGAGAACAAAATGATGGCAACGGTACCTAAAAATTGCTCCACATTATCAATGAAATATAGTAAATGTTCTTTGAGGTAATCATACTAGTTTCTGAGAATTGTAGCTACCAGCTGATGACTGTTATGATTCAAGTTTCATGTTACAGAATTTCTTAGGATATTCTGACATATGAGCATTGAATTATGGATCATATCTCACACTACAGACAAAGATTTTCATATTGGTTCCCTTCAACTCTCCCTGACTGAAAACGCTTGGGACTTTGCTTGACATCACGCAAATGAAAATTATGCAAAAATGTAATCTATAAATAGGTTTGTAGTAGTGGAAAGGGACAAAACAATCTTGCCAGATTCATCCGACACACAACAAAAAGGAATGTCCAGCATTAGTCCAGTTCTCTGTATTGTACCCCATTAGTCATGGGACATTTCTTCACAAGTTCCTGTTGAAATCTACAACTCGTCTTTGAGTTTAGAGTCTGTTTCCTCTTCCTCCTCCTCCTCTTCCTCCTCCTCCTCTTCATCCTCTTCTTCTTCCTCCTCCTCCTCCTCTTCCTTATCTTCATCTTCCCCTTCATCCTTCACCTCCTCCTTTCTTGTATTTTCCTCTTCCTCACGCTTCTTTCTGTCTTCCTCTTCTTGACTTTCTTTCATTTTCTTCTCAGCATCCTGAGAGGAACAAAAACAACAAAACATAAACATGAGAAATTACTATCAAAAACGACAAACAATTAAGTGGAAAATAATTTAATAGGGAGCAATAATAATCAAAGCAGCGTACCTTTGTGGCACCCCAAGTCTCATCGCCAACCTCTTCTGCCAGTTTGGGGTCATTTGTAATGAGAAAGTTGTCAAAAATTGTGCCAGACTTAACCTAATAAAATAAAATACAAGGAAATTGGTTTAAAGCACATCAATAGACAGTTATTAAATATCTGAAAACTTGAATTGTCTTTGGGACCCAAAGTAAGAAAACTGCTAATGTACCTGCCACAAGTCCAGTCCGATCACTCCGATGCTATCGTATTTATAGATTTCGCTGTCAGCAGTGTACTCCGGATTATCAATTTCAGGGTGCACCCATTTCCCCTTGTAAGCAGGATTGTCAATCTGGTGGGGTTTCCACTCACCCTGGAAAAGATTAAAAACTCAATTTCGAAAATAAAACAGCAAACAGACCCAGTATTCACTGTGACAAAGCCGTGTTTTTAGGTATTATCTGCATTTTTGTTCAATATTTAAGTCAGGTTGAAGCAGAAATTCACCCTATTTTCTATAGGCTATTGATCTTATTCTGAATTAATTATCCATGTATGCGTTTCATTAAAAAAAAAAAAAAGATCTTGTCATTTAAAATTATAATTTTTTTAATTGTAGTTCTTCTGACATATTCTGGACATTTCCAATAATTTTGCCCACATAAATCCCGACCCTTTCTTACAATCAACCTCAAGCTCACATTCAGATCTATGGAGGCTCGTTTCTGCCGGAAATTAAAATAAATAAATAGTAATTGTGACCATTGTGAATCTCAAAATTCAGTTGATCTCAAAATTCTGACATTTTTTCACAATTCCCTCAGAATTGTGATATAAATTCACAGCAGCGAGTTTTAAAGTCAGAATTGTGAGATATAAAACTCACAATGGCAAGAAAAAAAAGTTCAAATTGTGTGGACAATTCGAAATTCCCAAGTCGCCATTCTTAGAAAAAGTCAGAATTGCGAGATATGAACTTAAGATTGCAAGTTATAAAGTCCAAATTTTGAGGTATAAACTAGCAATTACGAGTTATAAAGGTAGAGGTGCAAGATATATATTTGCCATTGTGAGAAAATTATTATTAATTTTTTTTAATTCTGTGGCGGAAACAAGCTTTCATTAATTTCTGCATTCATCCAAGCAATAGAACCAAGACTCAGTCCTACATTATTATTATTTTTTTTTCCAAAAACAATTTCACTCGAATATACAGTACATCACAATATGGAAGAAAAGATCTGTCGCTACTTCCGTTACCTGGTGACAAAGTATTTTAAGGGAGGCATAATTAAAGAAACGTCAGTACCTTATATTCAGGATTGGTAACCATGGGCGGCTCCCACTCCCCATCCATCTCATCATCCCAGTCATCAGGCTTCTTGGCATCAGGATCAGGGATGTTCTCGGCTTTGTCCCAGTCCTACAGAAACACACAGACAATGTTTCACAAAGCTGGAACATATTAGCAAGGAACATATAACTTAATACTGTATATCAGAACAGCTGTTGTTGCAATGATTTACTTGGTGATCTGTGCATATTTATCCCAACCAGTGGCTTATATAAGCAGTTAATCTGTTTTGCGACAAGCAAGATCTGTTTGGTTTCTTGACAAACACCAAGTCCTTACCTCTGGTTTCTTGTCATCAGGGTCATCGATCTTCTCTCTCTCGTCCCAGTCCTCAGGCCTTTTCGCTTCAGGATCCTTGATCTTTTTGGGGGGCAGGACGTCCCAGTCTTCTTCCAGAGATCCAGACTCTACCTTCTTATTATCAATCTTGACTTCATAAGTGTTGTCAGGATTGACAATAAGCGTATACAGGTGGGTGTATTCATCATCCTGGATGACAAAATACATGGTATATGAGCTAGTAGGAGTGGTGCCATGGTGCATTATGAGACAAAAAAATAAATTAACAAAAGGATTACCTTGCATCTAATGTCTTTGTTGATCAAATGATTTTTGCCTTTGTAATTGAAGATTACATGTACTTTCTTGGTGCCAGGGCCACAGATGTCAGGACCTAGAATAGATAAATGTGTACGTTAAATCATCTTGTGCGTCCAAATGCACAGAATGTTTTGATGACTGGTCTGATTTCACATCAGATTTAAGATGCTCATCAATAGAGACTGATTAATGAAATACTCACCAAACATGATATTATAGGTGGAATCTCCATGCATATCTTCCTGTTTGAGGTCTGATGGGAAAAGTTTGATGTAGCCTCCACCACAGTCAATGCTCTGTTCATGTTTTACAGTGAACTGGATCACGAGGGGCTGATCCTTGTTGTTGAAATCAGGAAAGCGGGATGAAACCGCGTAGAAATGAGCATCCTGACTGGTCTGAAGACCTGAAAGTTCACAATATGATACCTGAGTAACAGCAACCATAACTCAAACTTTTCAGTTATTAAAATCCCCCTTGAAATCATCTGACAAATACTGTAGGGATGCAACTAATGTTTATTTTGATAATTAATCTGTCGATTATTTCTTCAGTTAATCAGATTAAAAATCTAAAAAATATTTAAAAATAAAATAACTTTACTACATTATTTACAGAATTGTTATTCCACATTCTGTCCAATGCTGTCCTCCAAACAATGTGCAATTCAAATGCAATGAAAACAAATATAGTGAATGTATCCATGTACTATGTGCAATTAAACATTTTGTGCAAAAATGGGCTAAAATGTAAATTGATTGCTTACCAGTTGAAAGTAGAAGTTAAAATCAGTAAATTAAAAATGACAATAAAGAAAAACAAATGATTAAAGTTAACTGGCATGACTCGAGGAACACGCATTCAATCATCTGAACATACTACATTTTTACTCCATTATGATATTCTCTTTACTGTTAACTGCTTTCATAAAAAAACAATTTCTTGTAGGTTTAAAATTATTTTTTTTCTTCTTTTTTTCTACATTTCTACAAAATTCTACATGTAACATTTAATATCTAACAAGAAGAAAAATGCATATTTTAGTGAGAATTATTGTGCTCATTCTACTGCGCTCTATGCACAGTCCGCAGATGCAATTAATCGATAATCAAATTCGTCGTCGATTATTTTCATTAGCGATTTTATTGACAAGTTGTTGCAGCCCAACTGGGGAGGACAGTTTCTTTCCTGTGTTGAGGTATTCCTGCTTTTTCAGGTATTATAGACCTTCTTGGCTGTAGGTGGTATTAAAGAGAAGGACAAGTACTGTGTAGTGCGAGATGAGTCATCAATATTTTTCATATTTTAAATGTGAAATATCTGCTTAGTGTCAATTATGTCAATGTTTAGGAGTACACTAGAATGGCCTCCAATGCGAACAAACATGAACCAAAACTCTCATTTTGATTTCATGTGGTCTTTAAATGCTTGATGAATCTTGTGACAAGGTACACATTCCTCAATTTCAGCAAAGCAGGAAGTTGGCTATACAAATTGGACAAGATTTAATCTGTGGCAGGGCAACTGGCCCTACTACACGTGGCTTTGTAATGTTTTGAAACAGTAAATATCAGATGGTGTGACCTGTCTGCAGCTCAGTAGAGCAGAGGGCATTACCTCACATACCGTAGCCCCTCCCCCCGCGTATTATTTAGTGCGTAAAATAATGAGGAAACCACAAATTCAAGCAAAGCAGTGTCAATTACCTCATCCCTGTAAAGCATCACTCACCCTTATCTTTCTCGGCATCGCCATAAAATTTGCCTGCAGAGAGCACAAACTGGCCGTAGTCGGATTTATGCTTGGATTCCATCCATCGGCTCCTCCAGGTGTCTGAAATGTGACATGAATATGAATATGAAATTAAAACCATTATCAGCATGCATATGCATAATTATGAGTAAAATCAGATTAAATCAAGGACGTATGCTCAACCGACCGTCATTCACACTTGCTGCCTTGACTATTTGTTATAAGATAACCTATTTAAACCAATACTTTAAGATTTTAAACTATTGCTATTATTGTTGATGTTATAATTTAATGAATACAACCCACCATTGTTGCCAAGCCATTGCAATAGCATATGGTGACTCCACCATATAGAATTTTAAGTCTGGTGAATCCATCACATGCTCGAAAGCCACAGAGAGCATAAATAATAGACAAAAAGCATCAAAACACAATTTTTTCAAACTCACCTCCGTCTTCAAATTGCTCTCGGAAATAAACAGATGATTCTGCAGCTATCAAAGCGATGGACACGGCCATAAACAGTAGGGATAACGTTGTCATTTTGCAGTAAAATATATTACCCGTTTAGGAGGGGTGGAATAGTAAAATATAAAGAAAATGTATTTTAAAAAGAAATATTAGGCTTGTATATTATGAGCTCTGTTTGGATCTTTACATGCCTGCAGAATCACTGTGCGCTGCTGCTGCTATCATTCGCACAGTCTCGCCTCTAGACTGAGAACAGATGGCTGGCTCTGATTGGACGGCGGGTGAAGACGATAGCGTCACACCGGTCAGCCAATCAGATAATTTGCGGAAAGCCGTGGAACGTCCTTTCTGGCCAATGCCAGCTGACCACGCGTTTGGCAGACACTAGTAATGGGAATTGGAAAGACTCGTTTCAGCGAATCGGTTCAATGAACCAGTTTAGCAAACGGATTTAGTCAGTGCTTGCTTACGTTTTTTCTTACGTCCTTGACTTTAAGCAGTTGTATTTTACAAGATCTAAAATCTTCCAATTAAGCCATACAGGTACATATTAGTGTTGTGCAGATTTGAAAACCAGTTATACGCCGTTAAGTGTTAGGCGTTACCCTGTTTTTGCACGTTTTAATAAAATGTTAAGTTAACCAAGTCTGTGTCGTATATGTTGATGAAACTGTCATAGAATCAAGATGTGATTATTACTGAATATTTCCAGTAGCTTTATTTCTGCTATTAAAGAGACGGTGCTTGGTTCTATGAATGAATTGTTTACTCGAAAATTGCTCTTGATTAACTCGAATCATGAACGAATCTTACGATCGATTCGTAAATAGCACTAGTTGTTTCAGAATTAGTTCTGACCTTTTTACAGTCTCTGACTCAGGTTCAGCCCGTTCATTAAAAAGATTGAACCCTCAGGCTTACACCTAAACCCCATAGAAATATGCTCATAAGAAGAAAAAGGTTACTGTAATGGATTTTTAGTTTTAGTTTTTTATTAAACCAAGCAAGTGATTTAGTTGTTTGCAAAATCTATATAGAAATAATTTCAAGAGTTTTGAGAGCTTGGCACATGTAACTTTTATTTCGTTCTTTTTTTCCCCACCTCGAATATCAGTAACAAGGGCATTTAACAATTTTCTGCTGGTGTTATAAATGGGAAATGGTAATGCAGAATTTAAGCGTGCTCAAACAAAAATAACAGACAATAGGCACCTTTTTGGTATCACTTGCCTGATATTATTTGTAGACAAAACCTTTACAAAAGTTTATAATTTTAGCTGGTGACATAAAATCTAGTTCTTTCAGTAACATTATCAGGGCTGTGTGCTAAGGAAATGACCAAAGATGCATGTTACTATAGCATGACAACTGTCTTGAGAACAGCAAATAAAATCAAGTTAATTGATTTACAAATTAACAAATGGGCAAACTACAAAAAAAAATACATACAGGCCTGTGAGGGGAGGGGGGGGGGGGGGGATAGTGCATTACATCAAGCCTCAAATGTAAAGCAATGCTTTCTTCAATCTCATGTTTGTCAAGCTTGTCAAGCTAGCTCTTTTTTCGACCAACATACATTTCAGTGGCATATCTTCATCTTTTCCCCAACAACTCAAATAATTTTCACATCAGAATGTGTTCAAAATGGAAACATCAATGAACAAAACAAAAAACACAAGTGACAATTAATTGAGTTCCAATTAAAAAAACAACACACAACACCTTAAGATACACAACACACAAAAAGTATACATTAAATGTATTACACACTTTTTTTGTGGTAATTTCAAGACATTAATGCAGCCTATGATTACTGAAATATGCCAAAAATGTACAAAGTTATTAAACAGCAACTTTAAAGAAACATTCCAGATTGAATAAAAATGTAGCTTCTTAGTGGCATAGTCAATCACCACAGAAAATGATGACCACTTAAAATGCTCTTCCAGTTTGTGAAAACAAACTAAAATACATTTGGCAATAATACTTACATGGAAAGCCCAGCAGATCCAATCAATTCCCACTTTACTTTTTTTTCCTATTCAATATCCTGTTTAGCTCAGAAATACATATTACGGAAGTAAAAAAGAGCAATTCCCAAATGTTAAAAATCATTGTGGTTCTGCCTGCTTGAATAATAGCCTTCCATTGTAAGTGCATTACTGTAAATAAGTATAATTTATTATACTTAAATAGTTATATTATATAATTATTAAATAAATAATTTTTCAAAGAGGTTAAGTTGCTTAAGTTCAGATCAATACATGTAATGTATGGCGTTATATATGTGCCTCATTCCTGAGCGAGTAATTGTAAGTTTTGAGCACAGAGAACTATATTTTGCAAGCACATTGCATTATATTTTGAACAGAAATTAACAATCGCAAAAAAAAAAATTCGTTTGAGCAAAAAAAAACATTCCGTGCTCAATAAATGTATTTGCTATTATCCATATTAACGTGCAATAATAACCCCTCTCACGCAGTTTACTCAGGTGCTCTCTCACAAACTTATTCTCTGCGCTCCTGTCAAGTTCCTCTCTCTCTCTCTCAACCTCTTAATTCTGTCCGCGCTCAACTCTTGACACACACGCGCGCTCAACTCTTGACACACACGCGCGCTCAACTCTTGATACACACGCGCTCAACTCTTGACACACACGCGCGCTCAACTCTTGACACACACGCGCGCTCAACTCTTGACACACGCGCGCTCAACTCTTGACACACGCGCGCTCAACTCTTGACACACACGCGCGCTCAACTTGCAACAGCGTTACAAGTGTGCCACAAAATCAACCAATCGGAAAATTAAAGGTCAATTGTGATTGGCTGTTGGTCTCCAATCACCACGCAGCACAAAGAAGAAGAAAAAAAAATATGGACAGATGTCTTCTCTAGTATGGAATGCCAAAGCTGACTCAATTAAAAATAAATAAATACATAAATAAATAAATATACGAAGAAATGCAAAAAAGCAAAAATACATAAATAAATATACAAAGAAATGTAAAAAAAAAAATACAAAGAAATGAGTATTTATACTTTTATTTCCTTATTTATGTATAATTGTATTTTTTTCACACATTTTTTATTTTTTATTTATACATTTATTTATTTCCACTTTTATTTATTTCCACATTTATTTATTTATATATTGTATTGTATTATATAAATTGATTTCCAGGGGCGATCAGCATCATATACTGCATGTTCAGTTCTTAATATTAATCGATAAACTACTCAGTTATTATAATAATAAGGCACTATAGCTGTTATCAGTAAAATAAAATTAACAAAAGTCATTAAGTCATTAAAAGTCAAAATCTTAATACAGAGGAGAATGTTTTTACACTGCAATTACAATTGCATAAAAGTCGTTATGAGATTAATGTTAAAAATAAAACATTTGAATATAGAAATATGAAATGATGGAATCAATTAAATTGTATGTTTAAATATGAAACTAAAACAGCCAGTAGGTGGCGTTAAGTCACTGTCTTAAACGAGTGAGTCATATCATTAATTCAGACCGATTCATTCAAATACTGAACTTCGGGGAAAAAACACCACGTGTTATGTTCAACTGTACAGCTCAGGTATCAAAATTATGGCGGGGCGACGTGGCACCAACATTAATAAAAAATGTCAGCATTTAAAAATGCTGTAAAAAAGCCCATGTATGAGATAATTTTATTATAATTTTTTCCCCGAACTGAATGAATCAGTATTTGAATGAATCGGTCTGAATTAATGATATGACTCATTTGTTTAAGACAGTGACTTACCGCCACCTACTGGCTGTTTTAGTTTCATATTTAAACGTACAATTTAATTGATTCCATCATTTCATATTTCTATATTCAAATGTTTTATTTTTAACATTAATCTCATAACGACTTTTATGCAATTGTAATTGCAGTGTAAAAACATTCTCCTCTGTATTAAGATTTTGACTTTTAATGACTTAATGACTTTTGTTAATTTTATTTTACTGATAACAGCCATAGTGCCTTATTATTATAATAACTGAGTAGTTTATCGATTAATATTAAGAACTGGACATGCAGTATATGATGCTGATCGCCCCTGGAAATCAATTTATATAATACAATACAATATATAAATGTATAAATAAATAAATGTGGAAATAAATAAAAGTGGAAATAAATAAAAGTGGAAATAAATAAATGTATAAATAAAAAATAAAAAATGTGTGAAAAAAATACAATTATACATAAAAAAGGAAATAAAAGTATAAATACTCATTTATTTGTATTTTTTTTTTTTACATTTCTTTGTATATTTATTTATTTATTTATGTATTTATTTATTTTTAATTAAGTCAGCTTTGGCATTCCATACTAGAGAAGACATCTGTCCATAATTTTTTTTTTCTTCTTCTTTGTGCTGCGTGGTGATTGGAGACCAACAGCCAATCACAATTGACCTTTAATTTTCCGATTGGTTGATTTTGTGGCACACTTGTAACGCTGTTCCAAGTTGAGCGCGCGTGTGTGTCAAGAGTTGAGCGCGCGTGTGTCAAGAGTTGAGCGCGCGTGTGTCAAGAGTTGAGCGCGCGCGTGTGTCAAGAGTTGAGCGCGCGTGTGTCAAGAGTTGAGCGCGCCTGTGTCAAGAGTTGAGCGCGCATGTGTGTCAAGAGTTGAGCGCGCGTGTGTGTCAAGAGTTGAGCGCGTGTGTATCAAGAGTTGAGCGCGCGTGTGTGTCAAGAGTTGAGCGCGCGTGTGTCAAGAGTTGAGCGCGCGTGTGTCAAGAGTTGAGCGCGCGCGTGTGTCAAGAGTTGAGCGCGCGTGTGTCAAGAGTTGAGCGCGCCTGTGTCAAGAGTTGAGCGCGCATGTGTGTCAAGAGTTGAGCGCGCGTGTGTGTCAAGAGTTGAGCGCGCACAGAATTAAGAGGTTGAGAGAGAGAGAGAGGAACTTGACAGGAGCGCAGAGAATAAGTTTGTGAGAGAGCACCTGAGTAAACTGCGTGAGAGGGGTTATTATTGCACGTTAATATGGATAATAGCAAATACATTTATTGAGCACTGAATCGTTTTTTCTTTGCTCAAACAAACTTTTTTTTTTTTTGCGATTGTTAATTTCTGTTCAAAATATAATGCAATGTGTTTGCAAAATATAGTTCTCTGTGCTCAAAACTTACAATTACTCGCTCAGGAATGAGGCACATATATAACGCCATAGTAATGTTGCTTGCCTGGGAGATGTAGCTAAGATAGATGTACATAAAACGTTCTTAAATAACATTACAGTAGGGTTTGTCATGAACAAGCTTTTTTTCTTTTGTTCCTGTCCTTTCTCTCAGAGTGTAAAATATAGAGTTGAAACTGTGTTTTGTTTCTGCATTGTCAGGGTTGTATAATTTGCATTTCAGATATCAGCAGTCATTTCTGCTTCATTCAAGTATATTCTGTTTCTATAATCTGTGATTTTGTGTAACGCATCGCTCTGTTATGGTAGAAAGAAATTGATCCTTTGAGGAATGGATTTGCAGCCCTGTGCAGAGAAGAGTTTCTCCTCCTTAGGAACATACAGCATGGCTTTGGCCACTTCATCCAGCGTTCCCTCATCCGGCTTAAGGCCACGTGCAGCATATGCATCATGTGCACACAGTTTCACATGCCGGTACTCCAGCGGCAAGAATGGTACAAAGAAGTCAATAAGATGGCCTGACATCAGCTCGCTCTGTGCAAAACCTCCTGTAAAAGGTGTAAAGCAGTTATAATGAAAATAAATAAAAACATATATAATGAAAATCTCAGGCTAAAGAAAAGATCTGCATGTATATAGCTGTAAAAGGGGATGAATTTAAATATGCATCATCTCTGAGACATTTGTCCATGTAAAGTTTCCAACAGCCCAGCTAATAAAAATATAACAAATACAAAAATGGTGACCCCCATCTCACACAATAGTGAAAAAATAACAATATATGGAAATGAAACAACCATATATGTTCTGTTATGATGTGTTTGACTGTGTCCAGCTACCTTCTGCCTCCATGGCTTCAGCCCGCAAAAGATGTTCCAAGTCTTCCATGCCGATATCTTCCCTATTCTGTCCCGAGTGCCAGAAATCCAGTGCCACCTCATTGATGGCAGCACCACCTATATTGCTAAAGCATGACATTAAGGACACATTAATAACACAAGACAAATTGTGCAGACATAATGTTTGGTCAGGCTGTAAAACAAATTCATTATGAACATGCAGAAACATGTATGTTATAGTCATTGTATGCATTTTCTGCATAGTATAATTAAACCTGTAGCTGTAGTTTTTGCAAAATAAATGTCAGATCAACACCTTTTTACCAAGTTTAGTGTTTTGTTCTTCCCTCATATTTAAAATATTTTCCTCATATTTCAACGGTTTAATCAAACTTTTATGGTTATTAAAAACAAATATCCCCTCCAGACATCACTTTTGGCCACTACTGTATATCATACATATACATACACCTTGCAGAACCTGGAAAAATGTTAATTGGATCTTTTTTATTTTATTTTTTCAGATTCTGAAAGGTGTAAGTAAACATATGATTGTTATTTATGTGGGCAGTTGCCTACATTCCTAGAAGAACCATGCTTAAGAACTGCAAGATAAATGAGTTCCATGAACAACTAATGGCTGTATGAAGCCAACACACCAACCTGAGGAACAGAAATATGGCTCTCCTATAGCTGACCCCATCCACATTATCATAGTGGTCCATGTAGGGCTTTATGGCGTCGATGAGTCCTGGATGAAGCTTTTCTGCCTCATCAAAGATAAAGAGAGTCTGTGGACACCGCAGAACCATGTCTCGAATGGCTTCTCTCAGTTGGCCCTAGTCGCAAACACACCCACACAAATACAAACACTGACTGTGAAGTTCAGGATTCCCGGACACGTACGTGCAAATTTCAAAATTTCGACAGGAAAGAATCAATTGTACACAATGTAATTTCTCTGTTTGCTGAATCAGGTTTTCTAACTGAACTATCCAAGTGTATTAAGGTTGAATTGCATAATAGTACAATCATACCACAGCTTTAATGGCAGTGGTCCAATAAACGTTTCCCAGAAGCCCAAATTATTTGATTGTATTGGACCCCTGCCTACGTGAACCTAGTTATTTTCAATACTAAATATATCCAAGCAGATTAATTATAGTAAAAACAGCAAACATTATACTAATGTTTAAGATTATAATGTAACCAAAGACTAAAACTTTGTTTGTAATAAGTGGACTAAATCAACAAAGGACTACTGAATCAGACCAAATGACCTGGACAGCCATGAGGATGTCAACCGTTGAAACTTTGCTCACCTTGTACACGTCCACCAATCTCGCGTGAGGGAAGTGGAATGGGGCAATGAACAAACGCACACATTCACTCTTTATACCATCCCGGTAAAGGTTGTCCGCTACTATCCGAGCCACAAAGTTCTTGCCTGTCCCAGACCAGCCGTGAAAGGACAGAGTCAGTGGTTTGTTGGACTCAGGGTTTTTGATGAATCCTTGAATGGCTTTCAGAACCACAGACTGGGCCAGGTGCTGCCCGTGGAGATTCACCTGTAGATCTCTCTCCAATCCTGAACACACATCCATATGCATAGGTCAAGGAAAAAAGAGAAAATGTTTCTTTGTATTCAACAAGATAATATAGCAAATTTTCTATGCACAAAAAGTTCTATCCATTGTTCACAAATTTAATGTTAAGGGTTCTCAGTTTTGAGTTTTGACCAGTGTATTTTCATTTGTGGTTGCCAGATCACTTCTTCATAAAAATAATTATAAAACAACAATTAAAATGATCATAATGTAAATATATGTATATATATATATGTTATACGATTGTAATATTGCTATAAAATAATGCTTGCACGAGATTGATGGCTCTACCTGTGATGTTATTTGTAATCCTACAGTCCCCTGAATCACAGCACTGACCCAGGCTGCAGTACCAAGCAGTCAGCATGCCAGTGTAGTACTGGGGAAACCCTGACCAAATGTTGCCAGTAGGCACTTAAAAGAAGAGCGTTACACAAGCCTTTAGTGGGTTACATTACAGTCATTACAAATACTGCCATCAAAACGAGACCCGAAAAGGAATACTACAACATAAAATGCATTTTTATTATAATGCATAAAAATATAATTCATTATTTATTAATAATAAATTCATGCATGATGATATATAATGAATACACTATTCTGTTAAGTACAGATAGGACATTTAAACATATTTATGAAAAACAATTGCAGCAAAATACACGAAAAAACGTTGGTTATCCAAAATCTATATTAAGTTACATATTGTAGCCTACTTTATAACACATCAAATATATCTTTATATTAATCTATAGCTTTACCTTGTTGTGTCGCATCATCCTGGTGTGGTTGGCAGTCCCCTTCCCATATATTGCAATAGATGTAATTGAAATAATAGGTAGAAACATTTGAAATGCTGTCGAATTGAAAAAAATCGGCATTAGCCGAAACAGCCAGGAGTGAGAGCAAGATTACGATTGAAAACATCGGTGCCGCCAGAAATATAGATCTTGCAAAGATTGTAACATTGAGCTATTAGATGTAACTGTATAGTCCATTTATATATACATTGGTCTCATTGACGGCAGGCCACACAAGAAATGAGACGAGAACTGAAACGAGACGTCACGGTCTTCATTGTAATAGTGGAATGAGCGGGTGGAATGAAATGGGTTAAATGGTTAAAGTGGGCGGTGCTTGGCTCAGTAAAAAAAAAGTATTTTCCCCATTTGATCACTCCAATGACTAATAAAAACTAAATATCAAACAATTACGTCTACTAAAATATTAAAAATAAGCGTCATTTCAGTTAACTTAAGTAGGACGTTGGCGTTGTCACGTGGTAACCGTTCAAATTCTAAGCGCTGAGCAGTCCGGAGCAATCGCAGCAGTTTACGACAACTGGATATTTTTTTCATGCGGTCCAAATTAAATGTGCTGAATATGGACCATACTACGTTTGCCATGTCTGTCACGTATAAAAAGAGGTCTGTCTACGGGTCAATGCTAAGTACAAAGGGAGAAAAGCTTTGGGATTTTTATGTTGCCTTATTTCAATGGGCAAATCCTGACATGAAGCCAAATTCAACATTTAGGTAATTGACTTGTCAGCTAACCAATACGGTCACAATGACTTATTAAATTTCTTTCCCATTTAGAAGTAATTAACTCCAATAGATCAGTTCCAAATGCTTGAAGCTTTATATTTAAGAGAATTGGTCTTAAATGTAGAAACCCCATTCTGTTTCAAATTGCACTACCAAATACCTGAAAGGTCTTTCAAAGGGTCAATACTGAAAGGTCAACCCACCCACAAATGGATCATACAATTAAAGCATTTAAAAAAAAAATGAATGAGCATTGTTTTAATACCACTTTATTGAAGTAATGACACTTTACAAACTTGGCAAAAAATAAGACTTAACGACATCAAAAGAGATAAATGACTTCAACAGCACAAGAACGGAAGCTCTGGAACAATTCAGAAGAAAACACCAATGCAGGCTGCTATTCTGAAAGAGGGAAAAAGAAAAAGCAGATTTAATAAAGAAAACAAACATCAAGGTCCAAGTGGTGTCAAAGTCAACCTCAGAAAATATGGAACGGTAAAGGGTATAATCAGCAGATTCATTTGGCAGAATCATGTCATCACAGGTTGCAAGAAACAAAGAAATGCCTGTGATGAGTTATACCTTATGATTCCATGATTTCCCCCAGAGCAATCCAGGATGATCTTGAGCTCCTAAAAACAGCACACCAGCAGTTAATTGGTCAGTCAACATTTGGCCCCACCTAGGACCAGGGTTTAATCAATGGCTGCATTTACACTTCAGGCAGGTCGTGATAACTGCAATGCAGTCAACGCCATTCTGTAAGGGGGAGAGAAAGAAAAGCAGATTTAAAAAAAAAAACTAAATTAACAAACATCAAGGTCCAAGTTGTGTCAGTCAACCTCAGACAATATGGAACGGTAAAGGGTATAATCAGCAGATTTCATTTGGCAGAATCGTGTCATCATAGGTTGCAAGAAAGAAACTCATTTAAAAAAAGTCATACCTGATGTGATGATTTTTCAAAGCAATACTGGATAATCTTGAACGCCTTCAAAAAAAAAAACGCATTAATTGGTCACAAAGTCACCATTTGGCCCCATCTAGGACCTAGGTTTAATCAGTTAAAGACTGTCCACATTGTGTGTTCAGGTCAGACATTTGTAAAGCATCACAAAACCCAACTATGGAAGATATTGCACGTTTGCAAACAAACCAACCTGTAAAAACTCATGTTGTATCCAGATCCACATGGTACTACAAAGCCTTCACTGCTGTACCTGTCAATGAGCAGACACCTGTTAGAACAGAAAACTGCCACCATGAGATCAGGACTTTGGTCATGTGACCAGATCAGCCAGAGCTAATATCCATCCTCCATGGCAAAAGTCAGAAGATATTCAATTCATCATAATGGTCAAATCTTGTCAGCCGTGAAATGTATAAAATACTTACATACTCATGGGTGATAAATTATCAGCAGGTCACAGGGCATCAGTCCTAAATGAGAAAATTCATTAACAGACTATCTTGAGAAAAAAAAAAGTAAAGCAGACATTTTCGGTCTTAATCAGAAGGTTTTATTCATGTCCTCAATGAGATCAGAGACCTGATTCAAACTCATCAGTTTGAGACCACTTTAGTTGCCCCTCAAGTCACTTTAACTCAGGGGTCTCAAACTCGCGGCCCGCGGGCCATTTGCGGCCCGCGGGGTGATATTTTGTGGCCCCCTACTTGACATTAAAGTTTAATGTTAGTGCGGCCCGTCGTTGCGTGTGCCGCGTAAAAAAAAAAAAAAAAAAAAAAAATGTATCCCTTATGAGCTACCATAGATAGTCTCGTGACAGCTTACGGAGGGTTTGTTGTCAATAGTTGTCATAGACAACCGCGAAGTACAAACATACTGCGCCTGGAAAAAACGAGCGCGTCGCTTCAATTATGAGCGCGCTTGCCGCGCGCCTACATTTGAAATTACGAACTTGAGCGCGCAAAATATGTGAGCGCGATATGTGAACGGCCCCTTGGCGAGCTACCACCAATCAGGCCACGAGCTACTGGTAGCTCGCGAGCGACGTGTTGGAGAGAGACACTGCTCTAAAACAATGTGAGAATAATCACTTTGAGCTTGTAATATGTGTCCAACAGGTTGATAAGAAGGTTTGCTTTGATTTGTGCAGTCAGTAATTTGAGACACTATACAAAGAATTCAATAAGACGGGCAGACATGACTGCAAATATTTGTATTTCAAAAGCAATAATTGTTTTTCTAAGTATAATAAAAGGAAATGTGCCTTCCAAAAAAAAAACATTCAATATCATTAATGTGTTGTATAAAGAAAATAAAAAGGACATAAGCAAATATAAATATCACAAATATGTGTTATAGACAAAGAAAGTTTGTAAAATGAACTTCAACTGTCAGAAGGACAGCTCATGAAGAACCAATCATGTACAGAAAGGTATGTTCAAATTCAGAGGAACAGTTCAGAAGAAACGTTAATAAATATTGAGAAGATTGGATCAGTTGTGCTCCTTTTTTGGAATACTTGAATACTATTTTTTGTGGAATACTTGATGCGGCCCAGCCTGACCCCGACTCTACCTCCAGCGGCCCCCAGTTAATTTGAGTTTGAGACCCCTGCTTTAACTAGACTTACCCAGAAAACCATTCAGACAGCTGATGATTTACCCAGTCACTGGAGTAAAAGAACTGCAAGAAATTGAAACCAGAAATTAGACACTGCAAAATAAAAGTACTAATCTAATTTTTTGTATGTTGATGCATCAGCTAGGAGCAAAAGATATTGCCATGTTCTACACAGATTCTGCTGAACTATGCACATCATGTATTGTGAAGTCATGTCAATCTCAAACTCACCAGATAGGATTGAGTCCATGCAGTTCTCCTGTTGTAAAGAGAAACAGGAGTAAGAGAAGAGCAAGAACTAATGCAGTATTGAAATACAATACTGGTGATGCATCAGTTAGGGGTGAAAGACTTTGGTTTATGTTCTACATAGAAATTCAGCTGAACTATGCAGTCATCATTTGCATCACAGGAAGTCATGTGCATTATAATATCAGAAGTTAGTACCATGCTCAGCTGACAGCATTTTCATACATCTTGTTCCAGCTTCTTGAAAAACCTGTAATAGTTAGACTATTAGTACCGAATAAAAAAAAAAGAAAGTGTAAGGTCTCAAACACCACTGTTTCAGTAAACCAATATCTTTCAGTCTTTTTCAGAGAGATTCCCATTGTTTTAAAACAATCATCACTAACAGTGCATGACTGGTACAATTTGGGCTCTTTTAAAGCTTACCTTTGCAACTTGCTTTGCACATTCCTATGTACAAAAACAATTGGTAGAGATTAACAAAAATATATATATTAACATACTTGATTTAAACACTGTGCTTCAGATAAGAGATCTTGGTGGTTGCAATTTCATCAGCATGAACTCAAGAGTAGCAAATAGAGTCATCATAAGCACCATTTTAAACGTGAAAACATAAAAAAAATACCTTGGACACATTGTAACTGCTTCAGTTCAGATATACTCCAGGTTCCTGCAAGCACCAAAAAAAAAAGTTAGCACAATGCTATAACTAAAATTGAAGTCTCAAATAAAAAGCTTACAATGCCTCAGAATGAAAATTCTCAGAAATCACTTCTGTCCACTACTCTTATACATTTATATTAATCATAGGCACACCAAATCCATTAATGCACTTAAAATAAGACTCAAGGTTGAAATACCTGCTGTCTGCCACCTTTGCAAAAGTCACCAGGACACTGGGCCTGGAAAGAAAGTAATCTATTTAAAAGTGTTTTGCATATACACTTAGCCATACACACCGAGTTACACACATCAGAAATGTTGGCATTCATCAGATATTCTCAGATGTCCCTACCAACATTGATCTTCATCATACAAGTGACAGTCATGATACAATTAGAGCGGTTTCAATGTTCATTAACAATTAAATGTTAATTGCCATATTTATGCAAATAACATTTTTACATTCAGCACAAAAAAAAAAGTTTAGAAGCATTAATGCACTTACGCTGTAAACCACTCAGACAGCTGATGATTTACCCACAGCCAGTCAGTAGAGTAAAAGAACTGCAAGAAATTGAAACCAGAAATTAGATCACTGTAAAAACATGCAAATATCAGATATTGCATGTTGATGCATCAGCTAGGAGCGAAAGATATTGCCATGTTCTACACAGATTTTATGCTGAACTATGCACATCTGAAGTCATGTCAATCTCAAACTCACCAGATAGGATTGAGTCCATGCAGTTCTCCTGCTGTAAAGAGAAACAGGAGTAAGAGAAGAGCAAGAAATAATGCAGTATTGAAATACAATACTGGTGATGCATCAGTTAGGGGTGAAAGACTTTGGTTTATGTTCTACATAGAAATTCAGCTGAACTATGCAGTCATCATTTGCATCACAGGAAGTCATGTGCATTATAAGATCAGAAGTTAGTACCATGCTCAGCTGACGGCATTTTCATCTTATTCCAGCTTCTTGAGAAACCTGTAATAGTAAACGCTATTAGTATAGAATAAAGAAACAAAATAAAGGATGATGTCTTAAACCAGCACTGTTTCAGTAAACTATTATCTTTCAGTCTTTTTTCAGAGAGATTCCCATTGTTTTATAAAACAATCATCATGAACAGTGTATGACTGCAACCAAAAAGGCACTTTGTATAGGCTTAAAAAAGGGCTTACCTTTGAGATCAAATGCATTGCACATGTTCCTGAAAAAATAAAAAATAAACTGGTAAAGATAATATACAAAAGAACATCACATACTTAAAACTTAAACACTGTGCTTCAGATAAGATATCTTGGTGGTTGCAATTTCATCAGCATGAACTCAAGAGTAGCAAATAGGGTCATCATTCACACCATTATAAATGCGAAAACACTTGATATACTAAAAAAAAAATATATATACCTTGGACACGTCGTAACTGCTTCAGTCCAGATATGCTCCAAATTCCTGCAAGCAAAAAAAAAAAAAGTGCTCACAACGCTGTGACTAACATAGAAGTCTCAAATAAAAACCTAACAATGCCTCAGCGTAAAAATTATCAGAAATCACTTCTGTCCACTACTCTTATACAATATGAATCATAGGCAAAACAAATTTCCACCGAGTTTAAAACAAGACCCTGCTGATATACCTGCTGTCTCCCGCCTTTGCAGAAGTCTTCAGGACACAGGGCCTGGAAAGAAAATAATCTATTTTAAAAGTTTTTGCATGGAAATCTTAAAAAAAGGCACATACACCATAATTATACATGTCAGAAGTGTTGGCATTCATCAGTTATCATCAGATGTCCCTACCAACATAATCTTCATCATACAAGTAAACACGAGGTCATGATGTACTTATGTAAACGCGGTTTTAAAATTCATTTTAACGGATTAAACCTTAGTTAATTGTTATCGTCATGCAAAAAACTTTATCGAAGCATATTTACGAGAAAAAAAGGTGATTTAGAAGCATTTAATGCTCATTCAAGGCCTAACGTATACCACGTGGATCACACTTCGAATTAACAAGTTATTTTTTGTATCCATGTATTGAAACAAAAAAACAATTATAATCAAGATAAACAAATCCATATCGAATTCACACCATAAACGCTGAAAGTGCATTACTGCGCTGAAGTAGTGAAGACAACATTACCTTCTCAAAGGAGCGAGGCGGAAGAATGAGACCGAGTGAATGCGTCGTTTTGCTTTTTATACTGTTTCAGCGCAATGGTTTCTGGGAAATCAATGCCTTTGCTTATACTGACACAAGATGGCGCTATGGTGCCTTTTGCGTTCAATGAGTTCTTTCTTTTACTGTCTATGGTTCTTACTGGCACATTATGTCCATTACGTGAATTCGGATCAATGCTAAAAAGAAACATTAATATTAACTAATATAAATGGGCACATCTTAGTGTAGTATACTAAGTGCACCAATGATTAGATACACTCCGATCTACTGAGAATGACAGTCAGATAATGTTCCTTTTAATGGATCTAATAATATAGACACTAACTCCGATAATTTTCAATGACTTTTATAATAACTGGATAATAATTTTTCTTAAAGCACTTTAAAAAGACTGCATCCACAAAGACCAATTTCTAGCCAATATTTTAGAACAAAGCAAAATGTGTTTTCAATGTTGGTCACCTGCATGAGAGTTATTTTACACCCATTCTGTTTGTGTGCAGAACATATTTCCATGAACACTTCTATCTTGAGAACAACCACTGAAGTTTTGTATACAGCATAGGTGTAGACTACACGAGATCTATTGGTAATTAACCCCCCTCCTCCCATAACTGTAAAAAATCCTTCCCTAGTGTGTGAAAATGACCCAAATTCCCCAAATTATACTTTGTTTTGCCCAGAAAGCTTATATTATTTCATTTGATATAATTTTGTCTATTTTTGAATGAAAAATATTTTGTAGATTTTTGTTATTTGTCTTCTTATTTACCTTTATTTTGCTAGATTTTTATCAATAAATAATTTAAGCACATTCTTTCAACTTATATTTTCCATTTGTGTGGGGTGAAAAAATTGAGAACACCCTCCTCCCCCTCATTCATTTTAATGGGAATTCCTAGATGTGTGTACGTGTGTGGCATGGGCGTAGGTTTGGTCTCAGCTTTGGTGGGGACATCCCCCCCCACCCCCGCCCCGCCCCGCCCCCTGCTTCCACATTTTACTGCATTTTCTTGATTCCTTCCTTTTATCTAAATTTTCCAAACAGATGCCTACGTCTGTCATTTACAGATACAAACTGTTGGCCTACATCGTTAAGGTCCACTTTGTCAAGGGCCTCTTGATGTACATGACATACAGTTACATTATTAAGGCGCTGCTGAGACATGGCAGATCGTAACCAAGTTTTCAGTCTCGTCAGTGCACTGAAGCTTCGTTCAGCTTCAGCTGAGGCCACAGGGACGACCAACAACAACCTAACAAGCTTCTCAACCTCATCAAATAAGCCTCTCACCTCACTTGGCATTGCTTTCAGAATTATTATTATTATTATCCATTATTACAGTATTCTATTAATACTAAAATTGTATCTTCTATTCTATATCAAATTCTATTGATATATTCTATTCTTAAAAAAAACAACGGCATTAGATTAAACTGGGAAGGGTCATAAAACTTGCATATTGTTATCCTAGGTTTACTGCTTCTATTGTTCTCAATTGTAAGTCGCTTTGGATAAAAAGTGTCTGCTAAATGAATAAATGTAAATCTGTTGTGATTTGATGCTGTCCTTCGATCCTGCATACAAAATGGTTAATTAATTGTGTAGTCTATCCTATGGCTAGCAAGTTTAACCCTCCTACCAGATATTGTTATTTGGATATTATCAATCAAATAATGATTCATCATTATATTTGAATAACCAACAGTGTTAACTTTTGCCTTTTTAACATTGCCAACATGTTTTCCAGCACATGTGTCTAGCAAGTAGGCTACACACACAAATACATTACATAAACAGAACGTAGAAACGAAAGATGAATGATCCACTGTTCCTAACCTTGAAAGATTGCAGAAGCTAGGTTTAACTGTAACAATATCCTCCTGGGTAACCAGGATCACCAGTTTATACTATTTTCCACAGTAGAATCTGCATTTGAAAGCCTGGTCAGTCACTACTACTGCTAGTTATTTATGTGGTTAGTTATTTTTTCCTACTTACACTCTGCTTTATGAAAAAGCTTCGTATGTCCCCTTTCTTCTTCTTGGGTGACATAGCTGATCTACAAAGTACAAAAAGGGGCAAAAAACGGAATATTAAAATGTTTTACTCTGGCCTTTGTATATGGCAGGCAGAGAGACAGCCCTGGTAACTTACCGTCGGCGTCGTCACGCGCGCACACACACACACACACACACACACTACCGGCTCGCTGCCAGTGAGTGCAAGCACAAAAAGTAGTCCCGGCCCGCGCGTGTAGCCTGCCTGTTAGAGACCCCGCCGCCAATCAAATCACGGCGTATCTTGTACTGTCGTCGTCCTGGCCGTTGGAATTGATCTAAATGCAGCGCAAATATCAAAATAGCAGTTCAAAGGAGCTTGCTAAATATTGGTGGGGACAAATTTGTCATCTCAAAATATTGAGTGGGACTAGTACCTAGCGTCCCCCCCTAAACCTACGCCCTTGGTGTGTGGATGCATGTGTTCTGCATTGTGGATGTTCTATAGTCTCATGCATTCATTTGTGTGTTTGTTCTGGATTGTGCCAGATTTTATTTTTATTTTTTGACAAATAAAAAAAAAATCCCCACATTCCATTAATTCCTATAGGGGTCAAAATGACCCAGTGAAGTATCTGTTATTTTTTATTTATTTCAACCACATAAAGTCCAGTTAATTTTTGTGTGCGCAAGCCTTAAGGTCTTGGACCACTCTGATGAACACACTTTTTTTTATAATTAATTTTGGGTCAAAATGACCCGAGGAGAAGATGAGGGTAAAGGTTATAACAAACAAGAAAAGTTACTGTGAAAAATGGTGTACTGCATGTGTATTTCTTGCAAGGTTTCCGCACATTTTGACCAAAGACTTTAAATTATTCTGATTTACATAATTTAAAAAAAAAAAAAAAAAAAGTTTTTTAAACACACTAGAAAAAGTCCTTGTAGTTTTTAAAATGAAATAAAGTGAAAGTAAGCACCTACACCTAAAATAAAATCACCTACAGCATCAATCGACTCTGGATGTCTGGAACAAGAAATGCATTCAACCTTCTCACACAAATTGGTCTCACTGAGATTTAATATTATATTTTGATACATGGAAATCTGGTACAATCAATTGTCAGGCAAAGAAAATGTTTTTTGGGATTGCCTCTGGAAAGCAATACTAGGCGAAAGTGAACTTTACTGCATATGGCAAGGCCTCAGATTTACTACAGAAGATGAAGAGCAAATGGCTTTTTAAGCTATAACAGTGATAATGTTTTGCCAGTTTTGCTCATATTGCATGTAAAAAAAAGGATAATACAATTTGATTTTGCTTGTTGCAAGTGTTACACCACGTATATTGACGTCATTCCACGTATTCATCAAGAGTAAAAGCTGTCCTGAGTGACTCGATGTGTCTACAGACTGTTAATATCATTTTACCTTCAAGAAGAGAATCAAATCTTCATGATACATGACTATATGAAACATATTTATTTGGATTAAAACGTGACATTTCACAGAAAGAGAGATTGCAGGGCAATTCGTGATAACGTTGCTTAACCTCAGCGGTAGAAGCACAGATTTGTCGAATGGTTTTATTGTGCACCATTACGATTTCCTACTGGACAGTCTTAGTTTATACTAAGTTGATAAATTATGTGGACAGTCAAGCAGCATTCTATAAAAAAGCATATCAAATCATTCCCAAAAAAAAAAAAAATGTATTGGAATGGATTATAATCATGGCAAAGGTGTCTCAAATTTCAGCCCCATGTTGTAAATGGTACATTTTGCTCATTGTGGCTTTTGTAGCATAAAACTGTCTCTTAAAAGGCTGATGGAGTAGAACATAAAGGGAATGGTTGCCGTCAAGTTTGAATATTTCAACAGTTACTATTGCCCTAGAGAAAGAAGAAAAATGGAAAACAAGAATATATCATATCTTCTATATATAAATAGCTGGAGCTAGCAGTATGTGAACCAAGTTCTCTTTTTGTTTACTTTGTAATTCCACCGTTAAGGCTTTTCGAACATTAAGATACAGCCTTCAATCCTCAGTCCGCTGCTTCCCTGAGATACAGAATGCTGTAGTTTTCAGTTTTGTTCGATAGAAACACCTCAACCCCTCAGAAGAGAAAGAGACAGACGTCCAGTGGGATCGTTCTTCTTTTGCCGAGACGAGAGCGCTTGTTTGATTTGTGATGCTGAAGGGCTTCTGATCACGTCTTCTTTGTGTTTGTGGTGTTTTTTCTTCCTCAAGGGGTGGTAGAGAGGTGCAAGTGTTGAACTAGCGAGCAGGGAGGTTTTTTTATTTTTATTTGTATAGATTATTTAAGTTTGTATTTTCTTCTTGTTTATTCGTTCAAACTTGGAAAATGCAAAGCTGTAAGGGTTCATTCATCAGTCATTCCAAGGCTGAATAAGAAAAGTGGTTTGCGAGAGAGTTCTGAGATTTTTCTAGACTCTGTGGTTTTGGAAACGGCCTCAGTGTCGTTGTGATGCTAGTCGCTTCAGGAGAGGCTCGTCGTAGACCCAGCATTCACCGTCCTCATGAAACAGCTGCAGGGAAACAAACAAATCACACATTAAACATAAGCATTGATCTGAAAGCAAGCCACTTCAATTCATGTGAATTATGAAATAAGATGGTT